TACAGGATAGTGCATAGTTTAAAACAGGAAGAGGTGTTAAGTGAAGGAACACTGAGAATTAGATCCAGATAACTATTTAGTCCTTGATCGCATTGTTAGTCAATGTATATTTACGCTATTTACAGGTCATATTTGCTAGAGCTTGATGTTTAAACAAGACTATGTCGCTGAAGCATGTAAATGCTATTACAGCTTGTTAACAAACCATCAAAGCTAATTAGTTTATATAGACAACCAGTTTTTATTATCGATTGAGCTAGTTTGTCATGAGGACTAATCAATATAACATTACGATAATGCATGTGAGCATTAATCAGAGGACTATTAGAATACAGGGTTAACATAAATATAAATCGATCGAGAAAGTTGAAGTGGAAATAAGGATTAATAATAATAGGTTGCGTTTCTTTAGTTGGGCTCACCAATGTAGAACTATGGTCTACTATGATATTAGTACTGCTCTAATAATAGACCTAATCCTAAATTTGTAGATTTGTCATGATATAACTGCCTAATCTATAAGATCTTACGTGGAAGTCACACCATCGACTACACCAACTCACTGTATCGTATCAATTACCAATACATGATGTAGAACAAGGTTAGGTTAGAGAAGGAACAATATATTTAATATGAATAGAAGATATAACGTTACATTCAGATGGACCACGTCTGCATGGCCGAGCCATGCCATCCGGTCAACTCCAGTCCATTCAATTCATTGTTCGCGCCTTCTCCATTGTTAGGTATTTCTCCGCGTTAAATATTGAATATCTATTTTCTGAGTAGTCTCGTGTTCACAGCTTTGTGGATTGTGTGGCTATTGTCTAATGCCACTACATGTTTTCGAAAGCAAACCAACTAGTCCCCATAAAGCTAGGAATGGATCAAATCACATGCTGGATTAAGGGATGATCCGACCTTCAAGCAATCCATGGACATCAAGTGGTCATTAAAAATATTTTGGAAGTGGCACAATATAGTTGATGATAGTCGATTTGACTTAAAAACCATATCACGTCCGGTTTAAACCCTCAAAAGGGTACTTCCATCGATAGGTTGATGTTCCAATTTGGTGGAGGGACACTAATTTTTGACCCAGAGTCAATGACACTTCAAACCCTCATTATCACATCTGTGGTGCATAACAGGCGATTGAAATTGTTGGTTATTACTGTAGCCGACAAGTGCCGGCGGAGTGGTTCGACGATGTAGTTGACAGTTGGTATGAAGGGGGGAAGCTGTAGGTCTTTCAAGAGCTTCGAGAATTTTCGCAGCATCAGTTGCGGTACTGATACCACTGTGTTCTTCTTTTAGCAAGTTCAGGATCTTTTGAGTCCAGAGCTTTCTTGGGGAGCTCAGGGTTATGTGCAATTACTTTAATTAAGCGCGTAGCGTTTGAGAGTTCTTACATTTGGTCGAACTCTAGAGCGACGTAAAGATTCTCAATATAATTTTGGATACAAGTTGGTTTCTGTACAGTCCTTTATGAAATCAACATTTGTCGTCGCTTCACTGAGCCTTGCGCTATATTTCAAATACTCGTTGGGGACTTTTAACGAAAGTGTTCGCTCAGAACGTTTCAATATAATGAAAATTCTTTGTTTATTTAGCAATTGTGGAAATGGGAACATTCAACTAGGCAAAACCATAAAAAAGTTGTGAAACAACTAGGTCGATTGATTGGGATCTTTATTTCATTGGTGATACTAATCAATTAAAATAATTGAAGAAAAGATTAAATGACACAAATATTAATTAGATGGTTTTTACTCTCTTTCTGAATAGAGTATGGGATTATTGGTCCTAGATGTAGTGGAGCGTTAATACATGTAAACGCTCAAAACACTGTTCAGGACACGGAGCGCTCAAACATTGTCTAACCAGCTACACGAACAGGATTACAAACGCAATGCGTTCAGTTAAACCTGTTTCCACTCTGTCGCAATCAACTGATGTTTTCGTTCGACCTGACTTACGATATAGTACACACGTCTTGGTTCGTCGAGACTCACACCGACGACCTCTTGAATCTGCATACAAAGGATCCTTCAAAGTTCTTCAACGCGAACCTAAGTACTATATAATCGATAAGAACGGAACGAACGACAGCATCAGCATCGATCACCTAAAAGCAGCGTATTTAGAAGGAAATCCTAGTCACGTCAAGTTTCCTTCGGCACAATCAAACGACATGGCTCCTACACTTGTAATACCTCAACCGATTCCCAACACACACGATGATACTTCGGCAGTATCAGAAAATAAACAACGCATTCTGGAAGAGTAAGATTACCAGAACATTTGAACGATTATTGTACGTAAGATACTAGTCGACATTATATATCATCTCGATTTTTCTTCGTACTATACGTAATACAAAAAAACCAATTTTAATATGCTTATATAATTATATTTATATTTCATAAAAAAAACGAAACAAAAAAACCATATTATGAAAACCATTTTTGTACGCTATTACGTGTGCATGAGTTTATTCTCCTTTTCTTCTCCGGCTTTGTGTTTTTCCGCGCATACGAGTGTATTTCGACATGCAACTACATGTTTTTTTTCTTTTCCCGGACGTCTGGAAAAGACGATGAAAAGAACGATGAAGTTTACCAGGAATCTAAATTTTCATTGTAATTTGTCTTTTTTGTACTATATTATACTTCATGGTCCTTACAGTGAGGAAAGGCGACCAGACGCTGCTAAACCAAGCAAGCCATCAGAAAAGTGTTTACCAACAACAAACTCGTTGGGTTTAAACTTCTGGCTGGCCACGTCTTAGGGTTATAACTACGCCACTAGGGGGAAGCGATCTGTAGCGGTAAATAAATCCCCAAAACAAATAGCTCTGTAAGTTTTCGACGTTTGATGCTGACCATATTAGTTTTAATGAACTCACCTAGCTGAAGGTGCTCGGTCATGTACCCGCACCAGATCACGAGTAGGAACGCCGTGCTCAACAACCCCTGTTTTTGAGAGGGTTAAAGTCATCCTGTGACAGCCATAGAGGGATGACTTTAACTAACATAGCATCTAAAACACTAGCCTCGATAATTATCAGACGCTTAACTAAGACTCGTGAACTGCAAACACGAGAGAATCAAGCTGGCTTCAAACCTGGTCGTGGCTGCATCGACCACATATTCACCATTCGTCAGGTTCTAGAACATAGGCATACTTATCGGCGTCCGACAATGGTGGTCTTTCTTGACTTAAAAGCAGCATTTGACTCGGTAGACCGCGAGATTCTGTGGCAGTGTCTGTCATTGAAAGGTGTACCTCAGAAGTACATAAACCTTGTGAAGGCTCTTTACTCGAACACTACTAGTCGAGTCAGAGCTTATGGCGAACTGTCATCTACTTTTGCAACCTCAAGTGGTGTCTGTCAAGGCTGTCCACTTTCTCCATTTTTGTTTAACTTTATCATAAACCTACATATGATATTTCCATATCATTCTCGTCTACTGAATTCCTGGGTATTGATCTCCTTCCAGCAGGTCCACTTGTCGATTTAGAATACGCAGATGACATAGTCCTGTTTGATGAAGATGCTGATAAAATGCAGAGTCTTTTGGTAGCACTAAGCAACAATGCCAGATTGTTTGGAATGCGCTTCTCTCCCTCTAAGTGCAAGTTGTTGCTTCAGAACTGGTCTGCGTCAACACCTGAACTAAGGATAGGGAGTGAAGTAGTCGAACGCGTCGACAACTTCACTTATCTTGGAAGTCTGATCAGCTCTAATGGGTCGGTGTCTGATTAAATCTCAGCACGGATTCGAAAAGCTCGCTGACTTTCGCCAACTTACGTCACCTATGTCGAAAGCGAGATATCCGTCTATCAATAAAAGGACGAGTATACTGAGTGGCAGTCCGTTCTGTTTTAATTTACGACAGCGAAACATGGCCATTAATAGTAGAAGACACTCGTAAGCTACTAGTATTCGACCACAGATGCCTTAGAAATATTGCTGGCGTCTGCTGGGATCACCGGGTAAGTAATAGTGAGGTTAGACGCAGGGTATTAGGGAATGATGGTAAACCAGTTGATGAGGTTGTGAATCTTCATCGACTGAGATGGTTGGGCCACGTATTACGTATGCCTGAACACCGATTACCACGACGTGCAATGCTATCCGGTATTGGAAATGGTTGGAAGAAAGTTAGGGGCAGGCAAACCAAAACGTGGCATCAGTGTTTGAAGTCACGAACTTCTAGTCTGAGCCATGTTGGTAGATGCAGACTACTTGGTTGAGGTCCGCGTGACTGTCGTAACCAATGGTTGGAGACTCTTGGTGACATGGCTCAGAATCGATCACAATGGCGTCGGTGTATACACTCTCTGTCTTCCCTTAAACTAAGAGATTAAAATCGCTTCATATCTTTCTTTCTATGGACTAATTCTTTCTTACTGTACTATATCCTTATTGCAATCTTTCTCTTATATATTACCACCTTTGACCTAACCACTCCTATGAATCCGGTGTCCATCTTGTTATGCTAATGAGGTATGGCAACTTGGACCGATGCATATGTGCCTGGTCCTACGTTGTAGCTGACTGACTGACAACAAACCATGCAATCGCTAGCCAGATTAGATCAGACGATCCTCGATATATTGGTAGCCTATCAAATATATCTTTGAACCTCCTCGCTTCTGTCTTTTGATTTCATTTGGTGGGTACGATTTATATTAGGCGCTACTGGTTAAAGCGTTGTCAAACTCCGAATACCTCTAGTATCTTCAGGTTGTATAACACGGGAAAGAGGTTGAAGCATTCTAATCGTTTGATGTAAGAGAGAATGACAATCTCCGTCACTAGCTTGGTACTTAATCTTTGGGTACTATCAAGGGTATCTTTATCTGCAATCACATCGCGGCTAGCAACCTGGACACAATATTGAAAATGAGACCTCCCGTAGATGAGTACATAGAAATCCCTTCCAACCAAAGCAATGCAGTATGGTACATTACAGTGTTCCACTGATTTAGGGTCATAGCTTTAAGTTACATCTAAATCTTTCAGCTCTATAATGTTTGGCAATGGTGTGATGTGATTGTAATTCATTGGTATTTTGATCCATTAATTGTGAAACTGGACATAAAGTATAATCAAGAACACGTAGAGCACTGTCGCGAGACATGTGTTTTTCACGAAGCATTAAATTCATTAACTGTATACCTTCACCTTTTAAAAATCTATCTTTATTCTCAGGCAACATTAGTGAACTACAAAGACAATCGAATAAATTAAGCATTAATTCAATTTCTTCTTGACTTCCAGGATCATATCGTTTATAAACAGATAATTGTTGCAACAATATATCAATACCGTCTACTTCACCTAATTGACGACGATTAGCTTCATCCATTTGTAATAAGATTGATAATAGCTCACTAACGTATAATTTATTTTTGTCAAATACTGGACGTTTTTGTAAACATCGTAGAAGCCATGCAAATAACTGTTATTTGTAAATTGATGGCCATCTTTAGGCCTAGTCTGTATCACTTTGCTTAAGAAGAGGTTCAGTACTAAGCAGCAAAGTTTGGACCATGTAACCATTACGTCTGAGTCAGTTTAAAGCTTTGATCTATCAGTTTCCTCGCTCAGTACACTATTCGATATAAACTCATCGGGAGAGAATGCTAAAACGATTATTTCATTATGTACGGACACATTCGCTCAATTAGTTTCAAACTATTTCGGTTCATTTAATTTTTTAAAGTTACAATTCCTGACTGGATTATCCATTATTGATACCGATTAAAAACTTGACAACACACCCACTATTATGCTGTAATAAGCCTAAGGTTGTTCATTTAGCGATGAATTATAGGTACCACATATTGATTATATTTTGGGGACGAGATTGATAGATTTTGCATGCCTGTTAATGATGGATATGAATACCTGTGGCATCTTCACTACAAATGAGTGCGTCGAGACTATAATTTATGGACGAAACAATCAGGTCATTTTAGTGTTGTTTAAAGATCATCCATAAATTATGGTCTCACCATATACACCTATCCATTTGATTATCACTGTCTATTTTACCTTCGTTCATAGACAATATGCCTTGACAATTTAACATACGACATAACTGTTCAGGTTGGACTTCGCAAATGCATCAGTTTTACTACAAATCGATATTCTTACAACATTATATTAATTTTGCGTCTAATCACTTGTTAAACACATTCTGTAGATTTTATGCAACTTATTATTATTAGAATTTTATGACTAAGTATTGGAATTGTAACCACTGTGTTACCTTAATTACTCATAGTCCCGCACGGAATTCAGCATTCAGAAGACAAATCATTTTCTAGTACAATGTTTATATTAGACGTCTAGAAATTGTTAGAAAAGCAACTTACTTTCATCATGGTTAGTATTGTACTGACTGGTTGTTAATTTAATTAAAAATGTCGAACTGGTTGAACCTTTGATAACATCCATTAAACTTTATGTCCACAGGTTTTTGCGTTAGGCTGTTGTGGTTGTACGGTACTACCCACATAGTTAAACTGCATTTAATTTTGCATCATGAAACTTGCGGACTTATATGAAGCTAATATGCTTCAAGAGATACAAGACACTTGCTTTATTCCACCGCTAGCCAAAATATAACTATGTTAACTGTCGTAACGAGACTCATGTGGCTTCAACAATAAAATAACGAGTGTTGTGGAGTAGTGGCCATGACAATAACAAGTAGAGTTAGGAGCATGGGTTTTTTCTCAAGGGAGGGACATAGAGGTCGAGACTGCAGTTGATAAGACATCAATCCGACAGAGTAACTGTGTTCCCTTTTTTTCAAATTACGGTAAATACTTACCCACTAATTATGTGGCCAAATGCAACTCATGAGACAAAAGTCCAGTTTATTAATCTCTGCCTAGAAGACAATTGAGTCACCTTTGAAGAGTTATATTGGGAATCTGCTATAAGACTAGAGGATGCTCTATTCACAGTTGTGAAAGGATGTTTTTCAAACTAGTGGTCTCCTCCCCAAGCTACAGAAGTCTATGCCCAAAAGTATGGCCCTCCGTGATCATGGTCTAGTCAGACTGACACATTCCTACATGCCTATCACTGCATATATACAATAAATAGACCTGTAGTTCAGGATGCTTTGACTAAATTGATCAAGTTCGGAACGTGATAACTGCCCCGCATTGTTTTAATCATTTAAAACTGAAATTACTAATCCACGCGACAAACTCATAACAAGATTATGTAAAATACTCAACACTACAGAAGATATTTCGATTCGAAATATCCAACGGCAGGTTTGAAATATCATAGGTTTTAACAATTAATGCAGTTTTAGGGCCCTTAATGATGTTTACACAAAAAGAGATGTAACCTAGTAACTTATTACTTAGCCAAATGGGATCCAGTGTTACTGTGTTATCCAAAAACTTACACTAATCTTGTTAGATCGACTCAATTATATGGATAATAAGCCTACTTACGCTATTTACATCCAAAGGTTTCATCTCTCAAAATTCATCATTAACTGTGCTGGCGAAATAGTGACATCGATAAAGTGCAACTCGATTATTACATTTTTGTAAAGCCACTAAAGCCCATGGTACGTAAATTGACGTTATCAAAGCTAACGGACCATGTCGACCGATATCACTAGCCAGGATTTGGGATACAAAACACGTCGATTTAAATGTTAGCAGAATGTATAAAAAACAAAACTATTTGGAAAAATACTTTTTAATAGAAAAGAAAAAAACGAGTGTATTTATCTTTGTGTAAATTAGATCATTAGTATCGTAAATATAAAGACAGTAAAGTTAAAACAAAAGATTCAACTTTATAGGAAAAAGTTTCAAGTCGTAATAAATATTTACAGACAAGCATGCGGAGAATATAGGAAATACCATATAGAAAATAGATGTGTACAAAACTGAGGTTATGATAACAATGACGAGATAATCAATATGGGCACTTCCAAAAGTTGTATAATCATTACCAACGTTTATCCAGGCAATAATATGAATATACTCAGTACTCCAGCTTGTATACAAGTAATAATTTAACATATTTTAATCTCTAAGGGAGGTGGATCATTTTTCAGATTGTCGAAAAGTTGAATCCAAGGGGTAATTAGCAGCGTATAATCAGGATCTGGGAATGTAATAACACAAAGACGATTAATATCTTGCGAAAAAACTGAAATTTACTTGTATAGCGGTTAAATACATGAAAATGGGAAAATAGTACCGTGAAATCACGGAACATCTTCCTTTAAAAAATGTTTAAGGTTGAAACTGATGTAAAGACTATTCAAAGATTTAGCTTCTGTTTTCAAATTAATGAACGAATGGTTGAAGATAGAAAAGACACTTATTAGACCCATATCCATTAGTTAACATATTGCAAGTACCTCAAACTGACAAGACCTGTGACCATTTCTAAATTCAAGATTGGAATACATCTGAAATTACAACTTAGCAACAGTTGTACGAAAAGACCCGTAGACAGATATTTTGCACAAATGGGAGCCTCATACACATAATCTATGAAATGCGAATAATAACGTAGGAAGTATATAAAGGAGAATCAACTCACGTCAATTAGACAAAATCTTAGTTTTACAATCCTCATTTGTTTGGAAGGAAGTTATCGCTGATGAATTGCTGGAAGAGGTCGAGGCAGTACTGTTATTTGCATCAGAATAAGACGGTACAGAAAAGAACCGACCACCAGAGCTTCGTATGCGGTTCATAGCATGCTTATGTCTGGACTCATGAAGATACTTCCGCCTTTCCTTCGGAATGCGGCCTTGTGCCTCTAATTTCGCTCGTGCTTGGCGACGCTTTAGAATCCTGTGGTACTGTTTAGCATTAACGTAAAGAGGTTCTTCACCACCAGGAGTAAGACCAGGTGATATTGTTGAGGATGCTTGTGTGGACATTCCCTGCTGACCGATAGCAGTTTCAGGTTGCGGACTAGAAACCTGGACAACTTGAGTGTTTGAAACGGCTTGAGATAATCCAGACTGGGTCTGATGAATAACCTGGACTTGCGAAGACTGCTGTAATTGTTGAAGTATGTGAGTTTCGTCTTCAACTGTTGTCCCTATAATCTGCCCTTGAGCCGAAGTAAGATTAGCGTCCAAAGAAGTGGTTGCAGCAGACACTATAGGCTGAGTTGTGTAAATTGTTTGCTGAGCTGCACTTGGAAGGAACATGATAACCTGACCCCCACCAGCAGACGTAGCTAGTTGAACTGGGATTAGGCTACCATCACTGGCCTGGACGGCGAATGTAGTTGGTTGAGCAGCACCGTTTGCATCCATTATCAAAGGCTGTTGCAACGGCTGTAGAATAGTTTGGGCTGGAAGGACTTGACCAGCGTGTATATAACCGTCCCTGAAGTAACACAAATGCGAAAATTAAAGATGCGTAAACTTGGAGGCAAACGGCATAAATAACAAAGACGAACTTGCCTAGTATGAATATGGTTATAATAAAAAGTCAATACATCACCCATGCAAGAAAGTATACGTTACGAATTTGCTAGAGTGATCATGAATTATTTATATACCTTCCTGAGAATATCTTTTTATAATAGTCCATAGGGAAGGGTATGTTTAAAACTATATTAGTGGCTATGCTTTGCAATTCCAATAACTTGATGTAAGGCAGTCATATAATTCTCACTGAATCCAAGTAGACAGTCAGGAATAATATCCGTATTATTACAGAACATGGTAACGGACCTACCAGAAATTACTCAATTTCATAGAATAAGCAGTAACATTGCCACTTACATTCCCGGTTCTTGCTTAGTGATTTTATGAACCTGCTGACTGATGTCGCTGGGTTGGGCTGCGTATTTACCGGTATTGACTCGCGATTATGGAAAATCTAGCTGTAACAAGAATGATACATGTCAAGCTTTAACCGGGTCGGTGGATCAGTCAGTAACAACGTAGAACGTACCTCAGTTCGAGTTACCATACCACATTAGCACAGAGATGCAGTTGTCGATTAAAATCCCATAGTGGTAGAGGTAGTAAGGGTATAAACAGTAATCGGAAACATTAGGGTATGAAGATGTTATTCAAGGAGTATAATCCAGTGAAATAAATTTGGAAAGAGGAAAAAAGGGACACAAAGAATTCAGAAGATTAGGATTTAGAACACAAAAAGTTGATGCACCTGCGCCATTGCAAACGAATTTGAGCCATGTCATTCAAGGTCTCTAACCATCGGTTGCTATCATCTCGCGGATCCCGACCAGGTAGTCCACACTTACCAATCACGTCCAAACTATAGATATACGCCTAAGACGTATCATAACTACGACGCTTTGGAATGACAATTGTTACCTGGAAAGTAGCAATTAGGAATGATTCTTTTCTTGGCCCCCAAATGCCCTGGTACGGCCGAGGGTGGGGAGAGTCCGCTCTCCCACTCGAAATGCTCTCATATGGCCACGCGTATAGAGCCACCGACCGCAAAATCTTACTACCTTCTCGTGGTGGCTCTGTTGTTTACGAAAATGAAAGGATTAAAGCGAATGTCCAGCGTTTGAATCGGGCTGGTGGGTATAGAGGTTGGACCTAGGGAAGTTGGAAAACCCTGATTCTAAACCATTGGTGCACATGAGCTCCAGTATTCTGAAGGAACAAATGGCGTATGAACCAATTATTGGTCACCGGCTACCATGGGACTGCACCTCCCCACGTTGCTCCATGGCTTTGCGGATTAGATCTTTGGATCAAAGGCTCTGGGTGTGGTCCACTTAAGAAAATCACCTGCTTTGGTCTGGGCACCCGGGCAGTATCACAGCCCACACAAACCAAGTGACTTGTGTGGCGCATATCCAATTGGTGCCTCCTTGTACCAATGCTTACGTGTTTAAATAAATTAATAAGCGTCCAACCACTACTATATTGATCGGTGTATGAGTAGGGTGAAAGTTAGGGATGACAAAATGGAAAAGTAACGCCAGCCCACATAGTCATCGACTAGTGAACTGAGTTATGTTAAGTACAGACAATTTAGCTAGGGTGTGTGCGATAATTGTGATCAGTTGTTGGAGCTGGTGGGTAGCCTTAAAAATAGTCACACCGGGGCAGATGGATTTATTTTCTTTCCTTGGATACTGAGCTACAAAACTAGTCAGTGCTCCTCTTTACAAGAAATAATTCAAACATAACTTCATATTTCATCTTCCTGTGTTGGTGTGTGGCAACTTGGACTGATGCATATTTGCCAAGTTATTGACCGCTAACGAACCATAACAATGAAGCCTAAATCATAAAACAATTGTCTTAGTCAGACTATGGAGATTTGTAGCTCAGGTGGATGATTTTGGTGGAGTTTTGTTCTCTGAGCTGGATGGTTTGGTTGTGGAGCTTTCATCTTTAGCCGGGTTCGTACGCTGACCAGCATAGCTCACAACAATGATCATTGGTTGCAGATGTAATGCGTGCACTTGTTATTGCACTGAAAAGATCAACAAACAGCCCGAACTAATAACTACTATACGCCCAATTTTAGTGCTTATTGGATGGTTTTGTAGTATGTAAGCACTGTTCTGCAGATGTGACAGGATATGTGCTTATTACCTTTATTCAAATCTTCGTATTCCCAAAGCATTACGGAGCATATAGCGGTGCGATATATATTCGACGTATAAATAAATGTACGTACTACTACGAGATTGTTACATACGTATACTTATTATGCTTATGTTTGTCTATTGACGTGAAAATAAGGCAGTGGATTTCGGGACAACAATAAATAGCTCATATCATTATTCACAAAAAATATTCGCTGGGACTACAGAACTTTATGACCACTAACAAATACGACGAAAACTGACATTAAAAATACTGTGAAACTGAACTATCCATACGTCAATATGAGACCCATAAACATTGGGTCGGTATATGAAAGTTAAGACTAGTAGCACCCTTAGAACTAGTCTCGAAATTGAATTCAGTAAACATGAAAACCGATGTGACTAGGCTACCAGCATAAATCAGCGTAAAACCAAGAGAAACCAGGCGGTAAAAGGTGAAATGATAGAACAGGAACTTATTTATTTTTTTAGCAATAAAAACGTGTGATTTTGGAATAAAGAAACCATAATTGGGGTATATTATGTAGGGCCACGAATCGTGAAACACAACTAGCCGCTGAAACCCAAGAAAATAATCTAATCCCTTGGACGAATTATACCAGAAGTTATTTACTTCACAAAATAACGACCCTGTTAACTAGTTTAAGTGAACTATACCCGAGAGCTTGTCATAAACACATAACAATGCTAAACTTAATGAAAAAAATACGCACAAACCAAGTAGAAGTTGTCTACAAACAATGTTTAACTCACATTATTACAGAAGACGTCTAATTTTACGATATACCCTAAGTACATAAACTCCGGAACCAACTCTTTTGGGCGGGTTGCGAAAAATGAATTCCACCTCATTCTAACAAGCGTCAACACAAAAATTGCCGGAAGCGCTTAAAGTAAGTGAAAAACCTCGAAAATGAACGAATTATATACGAATACTGAATGATTGGTAGGTCAAAAGAATGTTAGCTTGATTAGATTTACCATTGGTGCATCTACTTCTACTTGATTCTCGCTTATTGGGTCATACTCACATGCACGTATCAGTGATAGGTCGAGATTAAGGTGATAATCACTTGCTGGGATTTTCAGTGGCTTAAATTATTCAGCAATCAAGAATAGCAAAGTAAGGAATTGGATAGTTTTTATTGCGTACAAAACAGCAAATAGACATTGAGGTTGCCACTAATTTTTAGGCCAATGGATTCTTAGATTCACTGTCCTTAAAATATGTTCTGACGGCCAATCAAGGTTGCGAGCTTCATATTTAACTTATGAACGAATAGCAAAACTGACGTCCTATCATCTTTGAAAACCAGTATAATTTCTATCAAACACACAGGAGTACATTATATTTGAGTGGTTAACAATAGAAATACTTGTCATGAATTTAATGTGAAACAGTGTTTATAATACACTGTGATAGGATCATATCACCAATTTGCTAGTGGTTTAGTTTTAAACTTTATACCAATAACAGTTGAGTGTCCAGTATTTGTCTCAATACTCACAGCACCAATTTACTTTGAGAACATTTCCATAAATCCGTAATATATAATTATTATGATCATTAAAACTGGATGTATATAGTAATTTATATGATTGTTTTGTCTCTTAATGTAAAAGATGTCTATATCGGTTAGTAGGTAATTTCTGAAAGCCGAGTAAAAGTGCTTTTGATATGATAGGGCTTTGTGAAGGCCATCTCACTCAATCCACTGATCGACCCATAATGTTTGTTTACAGCTGAAGTCTATCACACACAAAATTACAAGTGTAATAGTGAATTACAAATTAAATGACATCAGTAACTGATATCAAGCCGTGATAGGACAATCTATCGCAACTTTCTAATAAAAGCTATGGAAAGCTACAGAAGCTTTCACATACTTTAATAAGGAATAAGGATCATTCCCCTTTAAATATAATGGATTCATGTCCCCTGATTCGTAAAACCGGGTCAATAAGATGCCATTTGATGGAGACCATCCAACCATTCATCATCTCTGACGAATCTTGACAACAGAGGTACCTCGAGCAAAGAAATCGTGGACAAGCCCCTTACAATTGCAAGTCTCAGAGAAGTCGAAGGTTTTTAGACCTTTAAATCCTTGAAACTTCAGGCTCAGACTAAACTCCTCCCAGAGTATTAAATTAGTGTGTACCTGTAATCTGTTCTTCTATCTTTGATTGCTTTTTATATTCAAATCATGTATTTCTGTACGGAGTCGCATTATGGAGCAAAAATGAAACATATCTGTCGATGGAAACTATCAAATTGTCAAACTATCATTACACATTAGCCTGGAATTTCCCTACCACATTCTAATCATCCAAAGTAGATTGATATATTTCGTACACGTGAGACAACTGAATACTAGTAATCGATCATTGATGGGTTGTAAAGAAAGGGTAATTAGGCTTCTTTAGAAGATTGAAATGAGTGAACTACAAAACACTGCAGGTGCTAACTTAAGTAGCTACAGAGTGGAGTTTCGGGAACATTATAAGACGTCTGGATATACTCCATGACGCGTAAATATTATTACAAGTCTCCAATATATCAAAAGGAAAAAAGGACGTGGAGAAATATATACTACCCCGAGGATATTGCTACGTTCTAACGCTAGTCAAGCAAACTTGTATCCCCTTATGACTTAGTTATATCCAGAATGCTCATGCTAAATGGTGAAGATACATCTACCTTGTAATTTTGGAGGGGTACAGGTATATCTTTCACCATAGATAAAAACTTAAATATTAATCTACGATACACCAAGTTTCTTTTCTCTTAGGAATTTCTCTATATATTGAAGCATATGCTGTGTTAGGGTTTTACCAGAATGTTAGGTGCCACGACGTTTGGACTGCTTAAAATCGTCATCAGTATGCATACTTTAGTGCGGCTAGAAAGATAATATTGTCGGAATACTTTATCTCAATTTACGTAAAACGTCTGAACGAAGGACAAAGAGGAAGACTGTTGTACACATCGTATGTAGTTCAAATATATTCACTAAGATTACTAATTATACAGTTCAGAAGATGAAAGGGTTAATAATATCATGGTGTCTCAATCCTCCTTCATCCGAACTAGTCACAAATGCACTAATACACACTACATAAAGGTAGAACATTAAAGAACTTCCGCAGATAAGTTTTGGGCGTCGTCTTGGAGATCTTGATGATATTCAACTCTCCATGTTAAAGAACCATTTCCTAAAACTCAGATGCAAAGCTAGAAGACAATACTTTAGTAACTGGAGCGATTATGTAGGTGTTCGGCTTACTTTATGATTTGCGCATTAAAAAACAGGAGCTCTTCCTTTCAATCTATAGTCGACCGTAATATGGCTGAACGGGAGTGTTGTTGAATTTAGGTCGAGGCCGGTAGTAATTAATTTGTCTATCTTACCAGAATAACACACCTAATCCAATTTTGTGCGCTTGCTATAGTCTGACTATCTGACCCTTAATATCGTGCGTCAGGTCGCATCGTTGTTTGTACTGACTTTCCCTATCGTGGTAGTCGGTAATGTTCTGTTGAAGAAAACATTCAGTGTAGCAAGAAAATCCTATACTTAGTATAAAGAGCAGAAGGATAAATAATATGACAATGTCTGCATGGTCAAGTCATCGCGTCTCGATTTCGCAGTTGTGTGAAGTTCTTATGTCATTACTTATAAACCCTTGTAAGTGACAAACTTGGGTAGGTAAATCCTATTCGTTGTGTAGTGATGTGATACGCCGCAGTGGCTGATTTGAATGATTGCAACTTCGACGAAATTTACTTCCAAGATGTGCCAATTTATTCACTCAAGTAGGTCGTTTACAGCTGATTATTTCGAAAACGTTTCAACATGTACTTCAGCCCAGTTCTCAGAAGTGCCACTGTATGGCCTTTGCCTCAATCAACTTTGTTTATAAATATTTCAGTCCTTGAGAATTCTTACACATGAAATATATACTTTAAAAATCTAAATACAAGGAATATCCAACAGAATTCGAACATAGTGTCTTGGAAACAGAATTATCACTATGTCTGCTCAACAAAGTTGTAAGTTTGAATTCGTATTCCTCTACTTTTCAGGGTTATTGGTAATTATTTGTTGTTGTTTCCGATATATTCGTCTTGTTTTGGCCATAAAACAACGAATAATTGGCACTCTTTGAAGTGAATACAAGGTTTTTCCATGCTCAATATACATGAGTTGCTCCTTCTGTTCCTTAGCCCCCATCGCAATGTGACCAACGAAATGAATCGTTCCTTCTTACCATTATAGCTTTGTTTATTATTCGGCTTACGGCATCTTATATTCAGTAGAGCTGGACACTAGCATTAACTGATTTCATCTTATCCACGGCATTGGCTTGTTTTAGGGAAGCGACAATAACTTGATTACTGGGCTTTTATGTACGTATAATGCAGAGGTAATGTCCAACATGCGTATTCCAGAGCAAAGTGTGTTTAGGTTATGCACCTAAGTAAGGCATTTTCAAGCTAGCCTTAATAAAATGGATTCTAGATCCCATACTAGCTCTTCTAGTTGTGTCGAAATGTCTAAATCTTATGCTATCGTTGACCGTTATCGATTTCTACGACTGTTAAATTTAGTTGTTTTCAATGTACTTGCCGAGTCGTTGGCAAAATCCATCTCACGCTTTTCTCCCTTTCATATCTCTTAGACTATGTTCTGCATTATGTCCTAGCACGCGAGGTATATTTTGGTTGGACAAGATCAGTTACATTTATGGCAAAATGACGTTAAACAGTGTATATGTTGCACAATCTACCTAATTTTGAATGGTTTTATGTCGTTAGGAACCTCGACTGGTCCGGAGTTTCCCAATATTATATGGGTAGTATCTGGAGAAAAATGTCTCCACAGTCTATGAAGGAAAACAAGAGTGATTTTATGCTCTCTCGTTGTTTCAAAGCCCCAAGAAAAAATCCTTCTTATGAGTGAGTCTCATCTCAAAATCCGTTTACATTTTCGGAACTAGCTTCAAAATATTTGTACATTAGGTATATAGGAACTAGTCAGTCAGTCAGTAACAAAGTAGAACTTCGTACGTACGTACATCAGTTCAAGTTGCCACACCACATTAGCACAGAGATGCACTTGTCGATTCAAATCCCGTAGTGGTAGAGGTAATAAGAGTATAAGCAGTAATCGGGAAGATTAGGGTTTGAAGATCTTATTTAAAGAGTATAATCCAGTGAAATAAATTTGGAAAGAGGAAAAAAGGGACATGAAGAATTCAGAAGATTAGAATTTGGGAGAACACAGAGAGTGGATGCACCTGCGCCATTGCAAACGATTTTGAGCCATGTCATTCAGGGTCTCTAACCATCGGTTGCTATCATCTCGCGGTCCCCAACCAGGTAGTCTACACCTACCAACATGACTCAGTTCACTTGTCAGTGACTTCATGGACTTGTGCCATGTTTTGGTTTGGCCGCCCCTAGCTTTCTTCCAACCTACTCCTATACCACTGAACATAGCACGTCGAGGCAGTCGGTCGTTGGGCATACGTAACACGTGTCCCAGCCATCTCAACTGATGAAGTTTCACTACTTCATCAATTGATTTGCCATCCTTACCTAGTACCCGTTTCCTAACAACTGTGTTACTTACTCGATGGTCCCATGATATACGAGCAATGTTTCGAAGACACCTATGATCAAATACTAGTAACCTACGGATATCCTCTACTCTTACCGGCCATGTTTCACTGCCATAAAGTAGGACGGAACGAACTGCTGCGCAGTAAACACGTCCTTTGGTTGATAGACGGATATCTCGCCTACGCCATAAATGACGCAAGTTGGCAAAAGCTAGTCGAGCCTTCTGTATCCGTGCTGAGATTTCGTCACACACCAAACCACAAGGGCTGATGAGACTTCCAAGATAAGTGAAGCGGTCGACACACTCAACTACTTCACTCCCTATCACTAGTTCGGGTGTCGATGTAACCCAATCCTGAAGCAACATTTTGCATTTCGAGGGAGAGAATCGCATCCCGAACATGCTTGCATTGTTGCTTAGAGTGGTCAGAAGACTCTGCATTTTGTCAGCGTCTTCACCAAATAAAACTATGTCATCTGCATATTCTAAGTCAACAAGTGAACCTCCTGGTAGAAGTTCAACCCCTGTAAATTTAGATGAGGAGAGTGTTATCTCTAAAAGTACGTCAATGACAAAGTTGAACAAGAATGGGGAGAGTGGACAGCCCTGACGAACACCACTTGAGGTGATCAATTCTGATGACAGTTCGCCATAAGCTCTCACTCTACCAGTTGTGTTCGAGTAGAGAGCCTTTATAAGGTTAATGTACTTCTTTGGTACTCCTTTCAGTGACAAACACTGCCATAGAACCTCACGATCAACGGAGTCGAATGCCGCCTTAAGGTCGAGAAATACTACCATTGTGGGGCGTCTGAATGTGTGTCTGTGTTCTAGAACCTGACGTAGTGTGAATATCTGATCTATACAACCACGTCCAGGTCGAAAACCAGCCTGGTTTTCTCTAGTCTGCTCTTCACGAGCTTTAGTTAGGCGTCGAAGTATTATTGAGGCTAATATTTTAGACACTATATTAGTCAAACTGATTCCTCTGTGATTGTCACAAGAGGACTTTTGTCCTTTCTTAAAACTGGCACAATCAGTGATTGAGACCAGTCAGATGGGATTACGTCCAGTTCCCAAATTCTACCTAAGACCTCAGTTAATCTCATTGCTAATACTGGACCACCATCCTTAAAAATCTCAGGAGTAAACCTGTCAGGGCCTGCTGCTCTCCCTCGTTTCAGATTTCCTATGGCTTTTTCAACTTCGTAAAGGGACGGAGGACTTACATTAACTTGCCATTCAGGTTGACTGGAGATCGTGGGAAACCGAAGTGTGGCTGAAGGCCAGTTGAACTGATCCCTAAAGTGTTCTGCCCATCGATCCAATCTCCTGGATTGAGAATGAATAATATGTCCATCTTTCTCTGAGATTGTTTCGCTAACGGTCGGGTTCCTAATTCCGGTTTCCTTAACGAGTCTAAACAATTGTCTGCTATTACCTATTGCCGCTGCCTTTTCCATCTCTCTTGCTTTCGCTACCCACCACTGTTCGCGATCATTGCGTAGACTTCTTGTCAGCTTGCGCTTAAGCTGACTCCGCTCTTCATTATGTTCAGAGCCAGGTGGAATGAGTTTTCGAGCATCTATCAGTGCGATAGATGCTGCTGAGATCCAGTGTTGCTCCCTAACCTTACTGGTTTACCTTACTAGCAGATATCACTGCTGTTTCCACAGCTTTTCGGATATCATTCCATGCTGCCTCGGGGTGGGCATCACATACATGGCTGCCTAACTGTTTTCCTAGTTGTTCCTGAAATATACTCTTAGCTTGACTATCATTAAGTAGAGCCCTAAGAGGTTTCCTTGCAGCGTCTTTCCTACGTCCAGTAAGACGCAAGCAAATAGGCGCTCGCACTAGAGCATGATCTGAATCTAGGCATGTGCTCCAGAATGAGCGACAGTCTTCTATCGAGCCCCTCCATCGGTGGCTGATAGCGATGTGATCTATTTGGGTCCAACGTTGGGACGAATTAGGGGGTCGCCATGTTAAAAGATGTTTTTCCTTATGCTTAAAGTTAGTATTTGCAAGGAACAGGCGGTTATCTGAGCATAGCTGCAACAGACGGTCGCCATTATCTGTTCTTTGACCAACGACACCATAGGATCCACCT